GACGGAATTTGCTATGTAATTGCTAATTCATTTGTATGTAGATGTCTATCGGGTTGGACAGGTGCAACATGTCAATTATTTCAAGGTATGATCACAACAACTGCGCCTACTACACCAAGTGGTATGTAATTCATTTCATTTTTCTAAGGATATTTTCGATAGTTTTTTCCTAAAACTTCAAAAATGTTTCTTTTTTCTTTTATTTTAATCAAAACACTAATTTTTTTGCTTCTCGAAATAAATAATACTATAGAAACAACACTGTTATTTTCTAAAACAAATCTTTCTAGTTGGTATTACATGTGCAAATAGGCCATGTATAAATGGTGGAACATGCTTTAATAATGGCGATTCATACTTCTGCTATTGTGGACCAACCAATACTTTCACGGGTACAAATTGTGAAATCATCTCATCAACATTAGTACCTAGTAAGACAACTTTCAGATACTTATATGTAAAGAATTGTTTCTTTCTCATAGATTGTCCATTAAACTGTGCACCTGGCTATTGTGTACCTTCGGGTTCTAGTACACATCCATATGCTTGTATGTGTCGTGGTACTTTGCATCTGACAAGTTGTAATTGAAACTATTCAGATTTGATGAATGGAAAACTTTTTAAAACTGAAAAATAATTAACAAAAAATATATATGAATTTCTCTCTTTATAATAAATAATATTTTTTTTAACGTGCTCATGATACTCGATAAAATAAACTAGAATAAATACTCTACATATTCTATTTCTAATGTATTCGATAAATAAATAAAAGCTGAAGTCAATTTTGATTACTCTTATTTGTCTTATTTGAAATCAAGATAGATACTTAGGGTAATGGAGACAATTGTCGTCGAAATAGTTTTTAAAGTTCTATCCTGTCGTTTCAGACATTCTATACAGAAAAAGAAATATTCTCGAAATTATAAGTTGCTTCAAATCAATTTAGATATATTAGTTCCATAGATTGTTCTACCATGTCAATAGAAAATTTTTAGAATATTGTTTGTTTTGCAAATGATCTTCAATTGACAAACCAAAAATATTATCTTACCAGTCTAAAACAGAAAACTCTAATTGAAAACAGTAATATTACTATATATTTGAACTCGTTCGATAATTAAATGGAAGCAATCGATTAATATCAATATCAATCCCAACTGTATAGTTTGATCTAACGTGGATTGATATTTTTTTGTTTGTGAGAAGACTACATATATATTTAATTAAAGAAGTCCTCAAAATCAATGGCAATTAATATTATTGACAAGAACATTCATTTTTATCAAAAAGGTTTTGATTAAAATGTAGTATATAGTATACAAAACTCATATTAAATAATTGAGAGAGTTCATATATTTCCAATGTTATCTTCAAAGCAATGACAAGACAAGGACAAGATTGGAAATAATGAGGTTTCATTTTGTCAGATATTCATCACTGCTTGTCAATAATAATCCATTACATGATTTTATGAATTACTAATAGTGACTAGTTTTTAAAAAAAACTTCAGTTGCATTCGAGCTCTTCAAATATCGAGATGACTATTGTATTACAAATACTTTATTCATCAATATTCATAAATTAACATAATATGAAGACTTCTTTTATTCCAAAATAAACTAATTTATATGTTAAATGTTTTGTTGTTCCTCTAAAGACAAAAATCATTCAATCGATGACAACGTGAACGGTTTTTCGAAGACTATAATAACATCTTCTTTGAAGGACACAATAATAATATTCTAAATTTGTATAAAGTTTTGTATTTTAATTCAGATCATATCACTTAACATAAACATCCGATTATTCTTTCTTTCCAATGCCCTTAGTAAAAAAAAATGCCCTTCACGTGCTTACTTCCTTTGCTGCCTTGAAATAATGATCAGGTGGTAAACGCCTACAGACAACAATATATTTAGTAACACGAGTAATTGATTCTTTGATCGCGTTTTAATACGAACGTTGTGCATCTCTAATTGACAGTGATTTAATACAAGAATATAAACAGGCTTTATATGAATCAATATAATTTCTTCGATGAGAAAAAACTAAGTATCTCAATAATAATCATTTCTGTTTGACGAGCGAACTTGAAGAAGAAGATGGTAGATTTTCGTTCACTAGTTATCTCAAATATATTTCTAATATTATTATTCTTATTAAAAAAAATTGATTCTTCACAATATCGATCTGTTCGACAAATTGAAGCTAATCAATGTCCTAATCTAAACAGTAACAACTTTTTAACGGAATATTTTCATCATCATACTTTTTTCTCTTCAATTTTTTAGACAATGCATGTCTTTTTGTTAACTGTGAAAATGGCGGAGAATGTATCGAAGATCCAACAACTATTGATTGTTTCAAATGTCAATGT